CACTAACCTTTGATATCAATTTCCTTAGCTTATCATATAAGTACCTTATTAAGGGCTGGAAAATTCTCCCCATAAGGCAGCCAGCTGAGATGCATAATTGTGTTATGTACTCTTATTGTATGCCTTTTTGACTCCATTACCCATGCCTTTGCATGCAAGATTATCATGCAAGGTCAAGGGATAGAAAACACGTGTAAATAAAATATGAGGTTAACCATAAATTTACTTGCCCTGTTAGGCTGTTACTGAATTGATCCAAATCTTTTGTCTAATTTACTAGTAAAGTTAATGAGTACTGGGAGTATTTTGTTAGATAAGGACCAAGTCGCTATACCTATTTGCTGACCCTGGTTGGTTACTTTGCCTCAAGTCTGGCCGTAGTATTGAATTTTGGGGTATAGGTTGGGGTATAGGATGGGGGGCCCTTTGATCTGACAAACCTAACCTCGGTCATGCTTTCTTCACACACACACACACTGACGCACATATACTGATATACATACACTAAAAGAATAAAGGAAAAAAAAAAAAAAAAAAAAAAGAAACAAGAAAATGTCAGGGAGAAAGTATAGATGCTTATACTTATGCTTATGCTCATGCTGCTGTCTATGCAGGTTGTAGCCCCTGTTTTTTCCTTGGTTGCTCCAAGATTCCAGTTCAAAGGTGCTAATAAGAGAGGCATTCCAGTTTCCAGGGATCCAGCTCAACTTCTTGCAAAATACTCTGACCCGCTGGTTTATACTGGTCCCATAAGGGTCCGAACTGGGCATGAGATCTTGCGCATCACTGCTTATCTGACACGCAACTTCAAATCTGTCACTGTACCATTCTTTGTTCTTCATGGAACAGCAGATAGGGTGACTGATCCACTGGCTTCTCAGGATCTCTACGATCAAGCAGCCTCCAACTTCAAAGATATAAAGCTTTATGATGGCTTCTTGCACGACCTCCTCTTCGAACCTGAGCGAGAAGAAATTGCATGGGACATTATTGACTGGATGGAAAAGAGGCTAAACGTGGCTCAGTATTTTGGAAATTTAGTCGATTGATTAGGTGTTAACATTCAAAAAAGAGGTTGGTGATTGCTAATCACTGTGAAGTGTTTATAGTACTTCTGTCCTGCATAAAATATCACACTGATGCCATAATCTGAACCCGTAATAGCATGTGGCAATTATGTTTGGACAGAGGCAGTATTTGTTTTGAAAATAGTGTGGAGTCTGTAAATTGTATAGCATATAGTCAGGTCTTTTTGTAGATTGGTGTGTCTGATTACAGTTGCAAACTGTTTTCTGGCAAATTTGCCTTTAAAACGTTTGCTGTCATCTGTATATGTATATGATATGAAACTGTCGTTTTAGTTGTTTTTGGGGTGTCCTATAGCCTACCTGGATTTCGATGAGAGCGGAACGTTCGTACAGGTCTAGGTGTAAACAGTCTTACTCGCAATATAGAGAGGCTGATTAATCTTTATACATATATTTTTTTTGTCAAAAACTCGAAATATTGGGTGTTTATATATATATATATATAATTTTTTTTTGGTAGTTAGCTGTATTGTTATTGAAACCATAGTCTGAGACTTGAGTAATATAAATGCCATTTACTAAATTACTACACATATTATCTAAATTCTAAAATATTTTATTTCCAAACTAATAAGTGTAACAACTGGTTTGCAGCTTGCGTATTAGAATAATAGTGTTTCATTTAAAAACAAAATGATCCCTTAATCCCTAAATCAGGTAATAGAATAAATAGGCATCGCATTGACTAAACTGCAATAGCACCGTCCAAATCTTGCATCAGTTGATCCTGTTTCGTTTTTCTTTTATAAAACGGCAATTAGCTTCTGTCTTTACTTTATTTTTATGTTCACCATATTAGTGATATTACCAGCTCATCTTCATTTCTATCCTTTTATGCGACAGGTCTCACCAAACACAACACATAGTATGTAATATTTGACCAAATAACAAGTCACCTCTTAGTTTTTAAGATATTTTATCATTAGTCGTATTCGATAGAATATAAAACATATTCCTAAGTCTCAACGAACTACGGAGTATCAGCTTAAACTTTAAATATGTTTTATACTCTACCAATATTCTTTCTATTCGTAATTAAAAAGTATATTGACAATGTAATTTGAACTAAATACGCCATTAATGAATAATATATAGAGTAGTTAATAACTTAATATATGACCATCTTTAACAAAAGAGAAGGCATATTTTAAGAATCTCACAAGAAAAAAACCTGAGGACTGTAGTTAAGCATCTATGTTTATTTCTTTGATTCTTTCGGCAGAAGGCAGACTTTCTTTATTAATGATTTTTTGTGAACATTTAGTGCTTTTGTCATTATCACCATGTTTCATTTTTAAGTTGTTTGTTTCTTCGTTTATTCTAATTCACAAAAGACAGAATAAGCTTTTTGCAGCATTTTGTCAAATTAATATTACTTGGTATTATTTTATTAAGTGAATACAGTAATTTGGAATTTGCTCTGTTATTAGATAGTTCTATATTCGATGTCTTTGGATCATGTTCACCGCCCTTATCTTCTCAGCCAGCAAATGCGTTCTATAATTCGGTACAACATCATAACTCATAAGATTAAGATAATGATTATTTAAAGTTTGTGCTTTAATCTGTTGAAGTATTAGTAGTAATGCAATCTATCTATCTTTAAGTACGTGTTTACAACCTATTTGGTATATTGATAGTAATAATGCTAATTGATGTTGATAATGCAAGCGAATTTGTAAGTAAATTTATGTGGAAATTTTTATGTCAATGTCTTTGGTATAATGTCTAAGTAAATTTTTTTAAAGGGGGTGTTAATGGGCATTTATAAAGAAAAACACAAGTTTGGATCGGAACGAATGTATTATTTTACCATGTTTTACAAAAGGACGTTGTTTTCCATACATAATCATACTGTAATATATATTCTTATTATCTTCTTTGTCACCACCAGGTCAAGATTGGTTAATAAAAATTAGCTAATAGTCGTAAAACATTAACCACCAAATACCTAGCAATCGCTAAATTCTAAATAACATGCACTAGTTCCATTGATAGCTAAATTAACATAAAAATCACTAATTTAGTAAACAGCACACGTCGGCCAGCTGACACGGTTACTTAGTGTCTTGGTATCTTGGTTTGCCCAAATTAATGTTTCCGCAAGTTATGCTTAGATCTAGCTACTTAATTGGTGTAGTATAGTCAAAATTATGACCAAGAAATATAAATTTTTTGCATGTGTACTTCTCACTTACTCAGTACTAGTGCAAAACGCCAACCTAAAAAATCACGTTGGGTTGAGAAATTGCAATGGTCCATACAAAATAAATACACTAAATTTACGTACTTGGACAATTGTCAACTGATACATCTATGATTGTGGGGTATTGATGTATTATTTGTGGAAGCTTGTTTGTTGTTTCATTTCTTCCATTTGAACTTTTTTTTAATGGTCCTCTTACACTTAAGCGTATGAGGGTGGTGACATTGACATTGCTCATAAGTCATAATTGGCTATGTTTCCTTCGAGAGAAGGAAAGTTTGAGTGGATTCAAAGCTTTAGTACATCTACTTCCCCTTTAAAATAAACTATATTTTCTAGGGACATAATTTGTTTTCATAGCTAAATCTCATCTGATCTGAATTCAATGTTTAGAGCTGGTCATGGATCGAGCCAGGCCAGTCCATGAATCGTTAGGAATGTGAGGCACACCAAAAGGTTGTGTATGGACATCATTTATATAATTTGGCATGAGCAAGCTAAGCGTTGATCCACTTTCTTTTTTACCAATAGTTGAAGCAAAAGATAGTTAAAGGGGGCCACTATTATGACCCTGAAGTCTATTTAGAAAGATTGACACTGCTTGAACTTTCCTTATATGTACCAAACATGGCTCGCTGGAGTACAAGGCATGTAAGCTTACACAATCAGTCCCAGTTCCAACTCTATCCATGTTGTTTCTTTAGTTGGCCAAATTTCATTTTGCTTAATCTACTCGCTGAGCTTGCATTGAATTGATTGATTTGAACCATTTTCCAAGCCTTTTCTAATTTTGACTACTAATTTGTGACGCTTTCCTCACTTTAACTCTTTAGGGTGAGTTTACTCTTAATGTCCTAATACGTTGCTCCTTTAGAATAGACACATTTATATCACATCATATAAACTCAGTTAAATTGTCTTTTGGGACTTTATTTTCTCTCCATATATTTCTGTCAATACCAATCACAATCTTTATTTTCTGATTAACAATGGGATAAGTTTGACAATTTTGAATTATTTAGATGAAAAACCACAAATAAGAACGAAATTACTATACGACCAGATAGACTATTACAGTCACATGACTTAAATTAACGACCAATAACATTTCAACATTTTTAATGTTCTTCAACTGCCTTTCTATGTGTGACTCATCCTTGCATTATATTGAACGGTAACAATATCACTTAGAGAAAGAGTTTCCCTTTCTATGGCTTGGTAGTTGGCATGAATGAGAATAGCATATCTAACTACACAAGCATGTTTTGAGACAAGAAAAATGAATATTGCATTAATACATGTAATGTTATTCAAGTTTATGAAAAAAGTAGAAACTAGCTAGATTATCAAGGATATAAGAATTGATAAGTTTAGGTTAACATTTGTTAGTGAATTCTACTAGTGACATACACGATCGATGAGTAGAAAATAATGTGACCAATGATATATAAAGTTCATTTGATAATCAGTTATTAAGTAAACTCACTTAGTAACATAGTTTCAATGAGTTAACAAAATAACGAGACAACGATATAAATTTGAACCTTTATTTATTCAGAAGATTCTCATACCTATTAAATTAAAAGGTCCGATAATAATACAATTTAATTACTAGCATAAATTACAACTTTTTGAGATTATAATACCATCAAAAACAAAACTAAAATCATAATATAAGATAAATAATACATAAAAGCTTCAATATTTTAATTAGCTTCACATTGACTATAAGCTTCTTCCATCTTAATAACCATGCCATGAGCAATAGCCTTAAAAATCTCACAAAGACCTTCTAAGGTAAACCCTTCAACAGGATCAGCTTCAAACGTCCACACAAACTTACACCCACTTCTTCCATCATCATCATCATCATCACCATCACTGCCGTCGCTCGGAAACAACCGCTTGGTTGAGACATAAGACTTGAACCCTGCGTTGTTATCAAGAATTTCATAGGACAAACACATCTGTGATGGATCAATGGATATAAGCCTTTCCTTAGCAAACCGAGCCACGCCGTCGCCTCCGAACTTTGAGGACTCACAACACCTAACCATGCCTGGCTCCCCTAGTTCACCTTCTACTAGGTAACACTTCTCAATGTGAGTAAACCATTTGTCTAAGGAGCAAAAATCTGCTATGAGTGGCCATACTTGTTGTGGTGTGAGTTTTAGCTCTACTATTGTCTCTCCTTCCCATTTGGCTGACTCTTGAACTTGATCTCCCATTTTTAGTGAGAGAAATTAGTGAGAATATAAAAGATTTGAATTTTTTATGGGGTGAAGAAGGATGATTAAGAATGAGCTTTTATAGACCAAGAATTGTTGTACATACATACAATTGATTAAGTGGACCAAGAAATTAAAGTAGAGAGTGCTTGTGGAGGTTATGTCTTACCTTAAATATTTCTTTGAGATTTATTTTTTGTTTGGGTTTTATTAACTTCTTTGTGATGGGACTGTATGAATTGTCACGTTAGTAATTTGAATGTCTGTAAATTTAGCTATATACTTCGTATTGGTTATTTGCAAAAATACGTAACATGGAGATCGAGAAATATAATTTTAATCTATAATATTTTAGCTTTTTACATGTTAATTACTCCCGACCCATTTTTAAAAGTTATTCCTATTTTAATTTTATTTTAATTAATAAGACCATTGTCACGCAAACCAAAGGAGTACTCCGAAACTAACAGAGACTCAAAGAGTAGCTTCATTGTCAAAAGGTAATACATTTATCATTTGTAACGTTGACATCTTGTAGTTATTCTCTAATATTATAACTATTTTAAACTAAAATATAATATTGTCATTTTTTTGTATAAGCCTTACACCATTGACATTTTTTTAGATGTAAAGGAGTGGATTAAAAGATAGTGTATTGTTGGCATGGGCCCTAGTTGAATATGAACCACAACACAAATTTGTTCTTCTAATTTGGTTGATGGTTTGTTATGATTTTATTTTTTTCGCTTTGTTCTTTTAAACCTCAGAGAAATGCATGGTTCATCTCAGAGAAAGAAGAAAAACAAATTATAAATCAAAATACTGTTCAACAATGTGAGACACGAAAGTTTTCATAAAGTACTTTAAAAACTTTTTTTTAGTGAATTGTTAAACATCGCCCGCAAATTCCTACATAAAGCCCACAAAATAAGAGTGAAATGACACTTTTGCCCTCATACTAAAAAACACACAATTTCTCTCTCTACTCTCTACTTCCACTTTCTCTCTCTAAATTATTTCCAGAGCTATGTCGAGGCGGCCCGGCAAGGAAGTGGCGGCACCGGCGGTGGGCGGAAGGCGGTTTGCCGGCCAGAAGGTAATTTTTTTAATTTTTGTAATTTTTTTTTAAAAAAAAAAACCTCCGGCGACGGTGAGGCGCCAAGGCGAGACGCCACCACCACGGAGGAGGCGCCTAGGCAAGGCGCCCGTACGGTGGTGGCGGCGCCTAGCCCAGACGCCACTACCACGGCAGCGGCGCAGAGGCTAGGCGCCACGGCCGTGGTAGTGGCGTCTGGGCTAGGCGCCGACACCACCGTACGGGCGCCTTGCCTAGGCGCTTCGTTCTTTTTTTTTTTTTTAAATTTTTTTTTTTGTTTTTTTTTAATTTTAAATTTTATTTTCGATTTTTTTTTTTTTTTTTAAAAAATTTGTTTTTCTTTTTTTTAAATTGTATGTTCCCTTTTTTTTTTTTATCTTTTTTTTTTAAAATTTTGTTTTTTTATTTGTTTTAATTTTATATTTTTTATGTTTATAATTTTATTTCCGTGACTTGTTTATTTGCTTTTGTGTTTATTTTTCGACTTTTTTTAATTTGTTTTCGTTATTATGTTTCGTTATTTACTTGGAGTTAGGCATCGCAATTTAGACCTGGTGCGGG